AAGTGAAGAATGTTTGGTAGGAACAACATAAGGCTTTTGAACTAAGAAGAAAAGCTGCAAGATCTTGAGCATGGTGGTGGCACCATAGTGCTGTGGGTTTGTTGTGCTGTCACTGGTACTTTGAACACAGTGGATAACATAATCAGATTAACAGGTAGTTAAATCTAGTTACAAATGTAAGGGTTATGCTTAAAAGCCGAGTCCATACAAGTTCAGGTAAGACTGAAGTGCACTTTGCTAAGGCATATTTTATCGGGTAAAAGCAAGCTTGTTGTGATTCTGTCATTTAGCTATAAAACAGCTCAAACAAAATAATAGACAAATGCTTCAAAATACATGATTTAAATCCGTGAATATAAATTTCACTCCCATTCATGATGAGCCTACCCCAACTTTGCTAACCAAACTGTATGTCATCATTGTTCATTTACACAAAAACAGTGAGTGTTGTCAGAGCATTACTAAATTCCTCCCTAAACTTACTGTGAGCTGTAACACAATTCTTAAGGTAAATCCTACTTTTATCATTGAACAATATGCAACAAAGATGAGATGCTGAACCATGATAAGATCTCTGCACATTCACCATCACACACACCTACATCCTCAGCATGAAATAAGCTCACACTGAGACAGGTTCTCTATTTTTGCCATGTGAGTTTACATTGATAATCACTTTTGAACTGTTTTAGGGTTTATATTGAAAACAACAGACTGTCCTCTGTCATCCCACACTTCATGTCTTCATTTTATTCGGATGACAAAATATCTGAAGCTTGGGAAACAATTTCCATGAAGATTTGCTATAATTTTGCTCACCTCAAACCTTTAATTATGACTTTGTTTGACTTCCAAGCTTTATTGTTAGAACTTGTGGATTTTACAAATGCCATGAAAACTGAACTTTATCTATATACAGAAAATATTTATAAAAGAGGGAGACTTTAAAAAAAAGCAAAAATAGTGACCTCACTTACTTTGAAAGTCCAGATGGAAACATTGGGTCCGATGGGGTACATCAAATTGAAGCCATCAAATAAATTACCAGGCGAAAATTACAGTCTGAACAGAACAGCCTTCTGGTGTAACATGCGCTCACAAGCAGCGCTCCTTCACTCTGAACGCATCAAAGTCTCCAGCGCTGCGGGCAGGAAGCAGCTGCAGCGTGACGGAGGGAGACCAGCTCCTATTAAATCAAGTACATTCAAAGGGGGCGGGGCTTGCATCTCGGACAGCATCTTTTCCATGACATCCACAAAATGACCCCCCATCCCCACCCCAAAAAGAAAAAAAAAAAACAACAGAAAAAAAACAACAACAAAAAACAAAAAACAGATCAAACAGCAGAGGGCAAACAACAAAACAGAACAATTTCAGTTGCCAATTATTTAAGAGGGAGAATATTAAACATATTAAACCTTTGATATTACACTTCAATAACTATAAGGTAATTGTAATCATTTGACCTTATTAAAAACAATATCATAAGCTGAATTTGTGATTGTGACGATGTCAAAATTGCAAGGTGGAATTTAAGATTATGTTGTGCTGCCACCTGCTGAACAGATATACGATTTACAATGTTTCAGAAATGCTTTCAATTTATCAGAATCAGAATCAGATATACTTTAAAAATCCTGGAGGGAAATTACTTTTTTACTTTTTTTACACGCTCCAGATATACAAATATATATATATATATATATATATATATATATATATATATATATATATATATATATATATATACAATAAACCACACAAAATAATATAAATACGAATATATACATAATGTATATAACTCTATATATATCTATACATGTATATATATGCATATGCATAACTATAAATCCAATAACGTAATAGTTACATGTGACGCTGTGCAAAAACAGTGCAGGAATGAATAAATGTCAATTACAGATGGGCGGGGGATGTCTGAATCACTTGAGGGACGCGTTGTAAGTGATTGGTGACCAAAGACACGAATGATTTCCTGTGGCAAGATATCTAG